AGGCCATGGCCGGCCGGGGTTTCGGCGGCGGCCCGGGCCACCTGAACGAGGACAACGCGCGCTTCCTGCTGCTGGCGGCGCTCATCGTGCTCTACCTGCTGGGCGGCGCCGCCGTCTTCTCGGCGCTGGAGCGGGCGCACGAGCGCCAGGCCAAGCAGCGCTGGGAGGAGCGCCTGGCCAACTTCAGCCGCGGCCACAACCTGAGCCGCCACGAGCTGCGCGGCTTCCTCCGCCACTACGAGGAGGCCACCAGGGCCGGCATCCGCATGGACAACGTCCGCCCGCGCTGGGACTTCACCGGCGCCTTCTACTTCGTGGGCACCGTCGTGTCCACCATAGGTAAGTGTGCCGGCCCGACCTGCTGGCACCCTCCGGTGGCCTCCACCCCGCACTGGGCGGGACCGGGCTTCAGCGTTCCTTCCATTCATCCACCTGCGTGCCCAGCGTCGCTCCACCGGTGTGAGTGGGTGCCCAGTCAGCAGGGGGCATTGGCGTCCTGCTCCTGGAAATGTGGCCCATGACCTGGCAGCGTCAGCATCACCTGGGAGCCCGCTAGAAACAGTCTCGGTCCCCTCCCCAGACCGCCTAAGTCAGAATCTGCGTGTTAACGAAGTCCCGAAGGGATCTGCCTGATCTTTACATTGGACAGACTCTGCTCTAGGAGATTTCCAATCTAGTTTAAGGAGACAGGGCTTGAGTTCACGGAGCTTCGGGGAGAAAGCTTACCAATAGGGACAGGAAGTTCTGACCTTTACTAAGTACTGTGCACAAGCCCCTGGTCAGAAGGGACGCAAATTTAAATAGACTGTCCCTGCTTCAAACTTACAGAGGGAAAATCAGGTAGAATACCAGACTGGAAGTAAGGAGGCAAAAGTGCCAATGAGATTCAAAGGATGGAAAGTGTTTCCTAACAGGAAGAAGGAGGAAGTGACCTCTGGGCTGAACCAGTTCGTGTTAGGCATGAACGAGGTTTGGGGACAAAAATGCTTTGCTGTCTGATCTAATTTTGGTAGTGGGAGGAAGGTTAGGAAGGTCTGCTGACTAATGCGATGAAGGAGAACCTGTACTGCCAAACTAAGGAGCTAGAACTTACCTAGAGGCAATTGGGAGCCACTGAGAGTATTTGAGCAAGAGTGTGGCACGACTACAGTCAGTTAGGCCTGTGTTACCCAACACAAGGAAAAGAGAGTCTTTACTCCACCGCACTAAAGATTGTTCACCCTTGAAGCGTAATGAAGTGATAACAGAGTTGTGAAGATGCTGTAGAAATTTTGAGGAAAAAAGAGAGCTAGAGCGGGAAGGGTGCT